CTGTGAGTGGGTATTCGAAAAAGGCCTTGGGCCGCCAGGCTCATATCAAGAGATATGGAGCAACGTACGCGGCAAGGGCAGGAATATTCGGTCTGCTAATGAGCTGGCAATGGAGGTTGATTCGGAGGCAGGGGATGACGATGAAGAATATCACAGCATAGATGACAGCAATGCTGAAGATCTACACCCAAATCAGTAAAGTCAACCATCAACCAGGCCTCTATCAACAGAACGTACCTCAAGCCCAATTTCTTACTCCCAGTCACCAACATCAGCATTTCTTCCAGTTCAAAAACGAGGAGAGGAACCCTCTATTGCTGAGGCCAATGTTTACGTTGTCCGATCGCTGCAGCACATTATGAGGCAAATTTTCGGTCACGAGGCAAGAGATAGCCCAACGCGGGCAGAGGTTGCTATCGACCGTGCCTGGGCTGACTTGACGAGATTTGAGAAGGAGCTGGATCCGGAGCTTTACCTTGCTGTATCTGGGAGGTTAATGACGCAGCAAGAGAGTTCACTTGTACCTGTAGCAGTATACTGGAACTCCTTGCCAAACGACAAGCTGAAGAGGGCGTATATTAGATTGGTTGGGTAGCAAACAGGATATTAGTGATGGAGGCGAAAGTGGGTAGTTGTGGTAGTTGTTGTTAATGGTTTTTTTAGGCTATAGTGGCTATATGAAAACAGGTGCTTTTTCACCCTCTTGCTTGCCGCTGTTGCCATGACTCCTCTGCTGTCTGCTGCCAAATAATAAACCTCACTTTTCCCTTTACACAACCAATCATCCCGACATGGGACCGACTTCTACCGACTGCCAGTCACCCCGAGGTTCTCTCTCCTTCAACATGCCGGAAAGCTCCAAGGCCCTAGGTCGATAATCTGCTGCGGACCGAGGGTGTTACCGACAACCTCGGCGGCCAGCTCGCTGCATCTCAATACAGTCACGGATGGACCCGTACGGATCCGGGCGACGTGGGGCTTTCCGTCCCGCGCCTTCACTGCCGATACCGAGATCATGCACCGAAAAGGTTCCGAAAGGGGCTGCCGTCGGGGCGCTCGACCTGAAGGACGGAAACCTGCACAAACCGGAGACATGTCTGATGCGGGACGCAGAGAAGAGACGGAATGCATATGCCCCCTGCTGGCTGTCCCAGCGCAATCTTTTGGCCACGAGATTCTTGAAAAAAGGAAAAAGTACAGTTTCGATGGACGGAACTTGCCCTGGCTGAGGACTTGGTTTTCCGAATTCGTCTGCTCTGGCCAGAAAAGTCATGCTATTCCCTACCCCTTGCTCCGTGAGACGGCGCCTGGCTTTTGTAAAAAAGACATATGGAAGCATCTATTGCTACCAAGGTTTCTATTATCGACTTCTAGATCAGACGTATGTACAGACGTCTTGTATCTATCATACGTATTAGTACTGCCTCTACCATTACATGTTTTCTTGCAGTATTCCACAGATTATTAAATCTAAGCGATGGAGGAGCCGGCTGGGCACCTCTTCGGGTTTTCTCTTTCTTCTTTTTTCAAATTACCTTAAAGCATGTCGCCCAAGGGCGTTCAAAGCCGCCGGGCATCCAAGAAAAGCTGGCGAATGCGCAGTCGGGGGCGTCAAAGTGACCCATTCCACAAAAGGCCAGACGGCCCTTGAGCCAAACGCGAACGGGGTCATGCGGTATGGAGGCCACCATTGTTGGCGTGTGATTATTTGAAAGAATTCTTTTCCCATTAGATTTAGATTCATGTACAAGAAAAGAGGCTATAACCTGTGCATGCAGGCGTGGTATCATGTGTCCGCTAAACACGAAGTAATCCAACTCCCGTCACCAAATAATTTCAAGTTCTTTTCTCAAATACGCCCCCCGCCCTTGCTTCAGAAGCATCATTCTCGTAAACGCGTCAAAAGGTGAAAAGAAAAGAAAAACACATTATACACTCCCAGAGCTATTATAACTTGCCGGAGCGGGCTCGCGGCTTAACGCGTCTAGTAGCGGCTGCGCTGCCACCAGCGGCGACGCCGGTAGGTGGTGTGGGTGGCGGGAGGGGAAAAGTTGTCGACCTTGGACTGCTGCTGGCGGCGCTTGTGCAGACGCCCGCTGCAGCAGGTGAAGAAGACGATGACGGTGCCGATGAGCAGGCAGATGGCGGCGGCCAGGAGGGTCCAGAGCGCAACGTCGTAGTGGGCGTAGCTGCCGTCGTCGTTGCCGTTGTCGCCGCCGTTGACCTTGCGGCGGATGGTGGCGAGCATGACCCAGTCACAGATGAGGGCGACGATGGTGATGAGGAAGGCGGTGCCGGAGACGAGGGCGGCGAAGAGGGAGCCGAACATGCCGGCGCCGACGGAGAGCACAAAGGCGATGAAGGAAACGCCGGCGGCGATGGGGTGGAGAATCATGACGCGGGTCAAGGCCTCGGCGGCGTCCGAGGACCAGGCGGATAACTGCGTGGCATCGGCCTCGCCGATGATGTCGGCGGGCGAGTAGCCGATGCTAGAGCGGCTGCACTGGTCGGAGCCACTAGGAGACTGGTTAGCAAAAGCTGGTCGGCTTTGCTATAGGCTGGGATACTTACTCTGCAGAGCCGTCAATGACACACCATCCGAACGTGCCAAATGTGATCTCTTGGCCGGCGGAAGATTGACCCAGCTTCACGGTCAAGAGAGAGATGTGGTGCACCACTGGGGCGGAAATACTGGTGACGACTAGGAGGATCGTTGCTGCAAGGAGCAAGAAGCTCCCAAAGTGGTGGATGAAGCCGGTGACAGCCATGTTGATGGATTACTGGTGTGCCGAATGTGGCAAATGGCCGGCGTGTGGTAATGGGTTGAGCTGAGTTGTGTGTAGTTCAAGCGGCCAGATGGGGATACTGAGGTGACGAACATGTTCATTAAACGAAGGGAGAAGCCGTCCACATATAAGCACCGCCGTGTTACGAACCCCCAGGTCGGGTCAAGAAACACGACCTCGCATGATTTGCTGTGTGATCTGTGACAGTAGAGCTCTGGGCGCACCGTCGGGGCCAAGAATCCCGTGTAAGTCAGGGTCCCTACGCAGCCCAACGAGTGCAACATCATCAATGTCGCCCGGCTTGGCTCCGTAGCCTACTTTTGTGGCTTTCGGGGGGGAAAGAAGACAAAAACCATTAAAAACACCAGGTGGATTGGACCCTGGCTTTGCGCAAACAGGTCCCAGGCCCCACCGGTTGATCGGCTCGTCTAGGCTCTGCCCAATGTGTTTACCGTAGTTGTCGACAAAAAGCTGGCGATTGTGACTTTAGTGTAGGTGAACAGGAACGTGGCACTGGGGGGGGGGGACCGTGACGTGACGTTATTGGCGTTGCGGCCAAGCTGATTGGCCCAGCGCTGGGGTCGATGTCGATCTAGGGCACTGCGGGTTGCAAGTCTTCCCTGTTTTTATGGCTCTGATATGACGCCACGCGGTGAAGGGACTCTGGGGCCCTGGCCAGGGCAATCCGACTTCAACGTCAATGTTTGTCCAGCTGACTGCCGCACTGCCGATTTCCGGCTGTTTCTTTGGCTGAAGCCACCAGCAGCTCGTCGTCAGGAGAAGCTTCAGCGTTGCACCGGCCCAGCGAGGACCCTGAAAGATGTCTTCGTCATCATCCCAATAGTGTACAGTCTTTTCGATCCTTGCAGGCCGATGTCGACATGTCAACTGTTTGTTGCCCCTGGGCGTTCGCTTCAGACGGATCGGGGTCTCCATGACAGGTTCATGCACCGGGCCAGGCCCGCATTGGATTTGGCCATGCAGCACGAGACGTCAAGAGTTCCGTCCAATCATTCGCCCAATGAGAGGGCCTGTTTGGGCCTTCTGCCATCTCATCTCCCGCAAGAGCCTTGTGCCAAATTGTCCGCTTGAACGGGTGCTTCACTTCCGGAACGCGTAGCCCATGGCGAAGTAATTTGATTATGAGGAAGGAACCTGAGGCTTTCACGTCTATTTGACCTTGGCGGTCAGCAGCGGCTTCAAATCTACGAACGTGCTTGGAGTCCTACTCGTCGCGCCGCACCGCGGCTGTGAGCTGTTTAGTCTCTCTCCTATGCAGCTTTCAAGCGGCTCGACCCATGTCTGGTCCCAGAAAACGAGCGCCCTTGCCCAGCTTCTGCAGCACCCAGATGCGTTGACGATACTATCTTCCTCGGCAATCTTATATAGGCAAGCGACGTTCGAGATTGTTTCACGCGTGAAGAAGTGGGCATTGGCCAACTGACGCGTCTGCCAATCTCTAAAGCAGAGGCCGTAAAGCAATCGGATCACCGCGGCCTCGTGCGGTAGGAGTCCGTCAGACTCAACAAACTCCAGGACCTTCTAGCAGGTTTATACGAAGCGCCGGCACTCGTGACTCGTAGACGGGCCAGTGCACCCGAATGTATCTGGTGAAAACTTGCGAATAAGAAAGTGCATGTCGCAGGTCGCTCAGAATAACGCGACGGGCGTATCATATCGGGTCATGCCCAGTTATCTCGGGGTAGCACCTCGTATCGCTCGGCTATCCATTCAAACCCTTGGAACCACAATGCGTCTTGGTATCGGGTGCCGAGAGCAATCAGTGTTACACCAACGCCATTCCAGAGCGCGAAGTCCAGATTCATAGCACGAATATCAATCGTTATGGCTCCTTCACCCACGAGAAGACCTTGCAGGCAGCGTGTGAGGCGCGGATGAGCGCGTGTAGGTCGGCAATGGGGGCTGCTTGTAAAAAGCCCGGATGAAGTGCAAAGTGAACAATGCGATCAGAGGCATGACTCGTTGTAATGGAAGGCCCGATCTTGGATGATATCATGACCATACGGCGTCGAGTTTGCGACGTCGAGGGTAGATATGTGGTTGCAAAGGGATTGAGGTCCTCACGAGAGAGGACTTCGTAGGCTATTCAAATTGCCAGCCTTGGAGGGCCACTTGCTGCGACAGCGGTGAAAAGCCGGCTATGGCGCTCTGTCGCGAAGATGCAAGCCCAACTTTGCTGTTGTGCTTCTCTCATCATGGCTTGTTCGCTTCTTGCCGTAGGTGGAACAATCCTTCCATGATGGCAGGTGCCTTCTCGCTTTTCTCTCTCCGTTGAATACGATCGATAATTGCGCGCTTCCTGACGTCGTTTGACTTGGTACCGAGAAGGATATCCTCCCACAGCTGGCCTCTACCCGAGGCCTTGACCTGCCCGCCCGTCTCCCAGTCCGACAACCCATCGGCAGCGACGTTTTTGGGTATAGACTCCTTGAGAGTTGCCGACATGACCGTCTCGCGTCGGGACTTGGGCCATGGGCCATGTAGAGGAGACGCCTTGATAGCGGCGGAGTGTATATAGGTCGGAGCCGGGAAGATGTGCACCGTGAAGTCCTTTCTGTCCTCCGTGTGCGCGGCGACCTCGTCATCATAGTGCTTTGCAGGGTTGGTAAACGGACCGGCCGAGGCCGAGCTCGTCAGGAACGTCTTGACGGAACCGTTGGTTTGGGGTGTCGCAAGCTGGTATTGTAGCGGGCTGATCTTGACGAGTTCCTTGACTTTCGCTTTGTCGCTGAGGACCGAAATGAAGGACGAAGGATGGTTCTGTATACGGAAGTATGTCAGTTATGTGGGAACGGAAACAAAATGGCGATCCGTCCTTCTGTGTAACATACATCTAGCTTCTTGAATACTTCGACTTTGGCGAACTGCTGCAGCGAATGCAGGACAGCCCGTCGTTCTGCGAACTTTGTCGGCCTCGGTACGACCGTGACTTGTATTGTCCGCGACGCCACCTTATTTTGGATGGTCTGTAGTATAGCGTGGCCGTTGGTCGACATGACGGATGCGGTTGTCGATGTGATCACAATTGCATGTATGGCAATCGCAGGGTGCAGAAGCCCAGTTCAAGTGAAGCGTGAAGCTCCGCAAAGTTGTCAAGCTCTGGTGGAGCTAAAGACCGTGGGCGAATGAGAATCGACGCACTTCCACACAGTGATGACCACCTGGGGCCCCGCCACATGGCGGGGAGGCAACCCTCCGCGACTGGACTTCTAGAACAGCTTGGAATACCTACGCGGTGCTACGCTTCAAGTCTGTCAACTATTCACTTCTCATACTCACCGTCTATTACGAGTCTTTGAACTTACTGTAACTACTACAGTCCGATAACAATAGTGCGCAACACCGCCTGCACTTACCTGCGATTCCAGTGCAACCCCACATACACGTCAACCAACCCCAGCGTCGCACCCCTCAACCAAAATCATGGCCGCCATCATCGACGCCGACGACGTGATGGAGCCCACCCTCCAGTCCATCATCGACCAGAAGTCGCTGCGCTGGATCTTTGTCGGTGGTAAGGGTGGTGTCGGAAAGACGACCACCTCGTGCTCGCTCGCCATCCAGCTGGCCAAGGCGCGCAAGTCGGTCCTCCTCATCTCGACCGACCCGGCGCACAACCTGTCTGATGCCTTCAACCAGAAGTTCGGTAAGGAGGCCCGCCTCATTGAGGGCTTCACCAACCTCAGCGCCATGGAGATCGACCCCAACGGCAGCATGCAGGACCTGCTCGCGGGCCAGAACGAGGAGGTGGATGCCATGAGCGGTGGGCTCGGCGGCATGATGCAGGACCTGGCTTTTGCTGTACGTTTCCTCTCGCGACCCTTCTGTTCTTTGCAGACCAAGAACTAACTCTATTTCCGGACAGATCCCCGGTATCGATGAAGCCATGTCGTTCGCCGAGGTCCTCAAGCAAGTCAAGTCCATGTCCTACGAGACAATCATCTTCGACACCGCCCCGACGGGCCACACCCTCCGCTTCCTCTCGTTCCCCAGTGTCCTCGAGAAGGCACTTGCCAAGGTCTCTCAGCTGACCTCGCAATACGGGCCCCTCCTCAATGGCTTCCTAGGCTCGGGTGGCCAGCTCCCCAACGGCCAGAACCTCAACGAGATGATGGAGAAGCTCGAGACGCTGCGCGAGACCATCTCCGAGGTCAACACACAGTTCAAGGACGAGAACCTGACGACCTTTGTCTGCGTCTGCATCCCCGAGTTCCTGTCTCTCTACGAGACGGAGCGCATGATCCAGGAGCTTGCCAACTACGGCATCGACACCCACAGCATCGTCGTCAACCAGCTGCTATTCCCCAAGAAGGGCAGCAACTGCGACCAGTGCAACGCCCGCCGCAAGATGCAGAAGAAGTACCTCGAGCAGATCGAGGAGCTGTACGACGAGTTCAACGTCGTGAAGATGCCCCTGCTTGTTGAGGAGGTCCGCGGCAAAGAGAAGCTGGAGAAATTTAGCGAAATGCTTGTCAAGCCTTACGCACCTCCCGAAATGGATGCCTGAGCAACGCGTTCTGCGGGCCACTGGAGGGGTAAACGGGCACTGGTCTTCAGAGGTTCCAAAAAAAAAATAAAAGAATTTCACGACTATGAAACTTGTTTAAGGGCGGGATGGGCGGGATGGATGGGTAACGTGCAGGCGTCAGAGTCGCAAGTGGAGGCATAGAGTACATTCACGAACGATTGATACCCGGTGATATGTGCAGGAGACTTGATTTTGACCATCTTGGTGCGTGATTACATACAGCAACCGCCCACACTGGAGCAAAGGTGTGTGTGAGGGGTGCACGTCTGGTGTTTCGTTATGCCGAATCTCTTGATAGCATATCAACGGCGAAGCCTGATCCCCTTCCAGACAACAAATGAATTCCACCCATACTCATGATGAACGCCTCAAGACTGGAAAAGAGTCTTGCCCATATACCGCTCTTTGTTTCGTGAATATTGTGTTGTGCCGTGTTCTTCCGAAATGACAATAATAATGAACCGTAATGCAATGCGTGTCGTCTACTGTTACAGTCGAAGTAGGAGCCGTGGGCGTGGTGGCCGTCGAATAGGCCGGCTGTATTATCGTCAGGTGATGGAAGCTCAGAGCTCCCTGTAGTCACTGGGCCGTACGCGCTTCTGACGGTTCTGGTGGCGATGAGGGTTGACAGGTCTGCGGAAGTAGGCATCCTCGTCATTGCTCGGCTGCGTAAAATTGTGACGCTGTTGGTTGAATCCGCCCATGCCACCGCCGTTCATGCCGTTCATTGCACCGTTCATTCCGCCGTTCATTCCGCCATTCATACCGCCGTTCATACCGTTCATCCCGCTGTTCATATTGGCGTTGAAGTTGCCGTACATGTTGTTACCCATGTCGGGGAAGCCGCCGCCGTTCATGGGGTTGAAGCCGGGCATGCCCATCATGGGGTTCATCATGCCCATCATCGGCATTCCCATGTTCATGTTGCCCATGTTACCCATATTGGGCATATTTGGCATGTTGGGCATTCCCATAAATCCGTTCATCATGTTCATGCCCCCAAAGCCCATCATGGGGTTCATGGGCATGCCGTTCATGCCGTTCATGCCGTTCATCATTGCTTGCTGTTCTTGTTGTTTTTGCATGGCCTTCGGGGCCTTGGGAATCTTCGGGTTTTCCATCAGCTCATCAGCCGGACGCTTCTTTGAGTTTGACTCGACTGAGGAGGCACGATCGGTGGGACCGGTCGGGGCGTTTGCCGGTGTGGCCGCTGCTGACTTTGGAGTACCGCCATTCGTTGAGGCGGCCACGGGAGCGGCGGCGGTGACTGAGGGCGACTTTTGGGGCGTAGGCGACTTTGAGGTTCCGTTCGCCGTCTCTGTTTTGGCCTCCTCTACTTTGTCCTTCGGGGACGAGGCCGCCGGCGCCGCTGGTGACGCTGCGGTCGGGCTTTTCGTCTCCGTCTTCTCCTTGAGGAACTCCTTCATCTTGTCGGTAGTCTCCTCATCAGTCTTCAGGTCGTCGATCAGAACACCTTCCGTAGAGCAGTTGGGGCAGATGAAGTCCGATTCGATGAGAGCATTAGTTATGCAATCATTGCAATACGTCTTCTGGCAGCACGGGGTCTTCATTGGTTCTATGAACATCTTCTTGTCGATGGGGCACTCGAGTCCCTTTTCCTGCAGCTCCTTGTCTCCCATAGCAATTGCCTTGGCAGCGGAGGCTGAAGACTTGGCCTTGGCCTGGAACTGTTCCCACGATGCCTTGTCAGGCTCGGCGATCACAAATTCTCCCTCAGCGTTGACCATAATGCCTGAAGGTCTCTTGGTCTCATCGTCGCCGCTTTGGGCAAGGGCGACCGACTTGTCAACCGTCCGCAAAAAGGACCTCGGAATACCAGTCGTACGCTTTACACGCGGACGGTTATCAAACTCTGGGTCATCGTTCGTTGGGCATAGCTGGATCCAGTGGCCCTTCTCTCCACAGCGGTAGCAGATGTAACCGTTGGGCGGGTCATGGTCAGGCACGTTAGCTGGCTTTTTGGAGCCTGGCTTGAACACTGGAGTTTGACTGTTCACAAGTTAGCCAGCAATGACTTATGCTACGACCAGGAAACTTACTGTGACATCTCTTCTTGTTGGGCCGACCACGACTCGGTCTGCGCCTGGAACATGGCTGCCATCTTTTCTTCCTCGGTCATGGCATTATTCATCTGATTGATGGCGTTGGATGTTGCCTTGGCCGTGGCCGTCTTTGTTGTTTGCTCCTTGCGAGACGAGTTTTTGGCAGCGACGGGCATCTTGCCAGAGACATATCGAGCGCCGCGTCCTGCGCCAGGTTTGGCGGCTGGGAGGCGACGAGCGACAACTGTGGTCGATCTGGGGATAATCGTGGTATCATCATCGTATTCTGGATTATTGTTAACATGGGGCGACGGAATGGTGCAGAAACATGGGGCATACCTTCACTTCCATCCTCGGAGTAAATGGCCAGGTCGAAATCGGTACCGTCGCCTAGACCACTCTTCAAGATGATGTCGCGCTTCAGCTCGAAAACGGAGATGCCGGTGCCATCGAACTCAACGCGCGTCGGTTCCTTTTGCGATTTGAACTTGAAGAAGACGGAGGACGCCATGGTGTCTTGTGTTTCGTAATATGGTCACAACTGTAGACCAAAACAGACGTCGAGAGCAGTGATATGCGTAATTAGGTTTTTGAAGAGGCGATGGCGATGATGAAATCGCAAGCGACCACAAAGACGCACCGCTACCTTATGGTGAGTAGAGAGTGACTTGAAGCTAGTATTTCTTTCTTCTTCTTCTTGCTTTTCTTTTGCGTAATCTCTCTTACGTTCAGCACCTCTCAAGAGTAATGGGAAATCAATTCTGATTTACTTGGAAGAACAAGGAAATAAGGGTTTTTGGAGTGTAGAGAAAGAGTACAATGCCAAAGAGGCCGACACCGGTTGGAGAATAGGCAGCCCTTTGTATGAATTCCTCCTTACATCCAATCACCTCGACACCACGCGTACCATCAGTCGAGAAAACCTCAGTTAGCCAAATCAGTTTCCTGGTCAGTATTCCGTTCGATGCGAAAGCGATCGCGATTCGCTCTTGTATCCGGCAGAAGGTAAGCGTGGAGATGAGGGGAAAAGGTCGTTGCTGAGCGGGCACTTGCGTCGCTTGTCGGTGGCAGTGCCAGCCAAATGTTTGGTCGTCTGCTCAGCAGTTGCGAAGGGGGTCGCACAGCCGTACAAAGAGCGAATGAATCGAAGCAAGGCGCGATGTTGCGGTCGGGGAGTCAGCAAGGAATCGATGTGGTGGTTGTGATGTTCTCGGAAGGAAAAAAGAGGAGTAACGCAAAGGGGGGGAGAAGAGATATACCCAGCCGGCCTTGGCTGCAGGCAGAAAGAGAGGTGCTGGAACCCACTCAAGTCCTGCCACCTGATTCTAGCACAAACCTGGACAGGCCGCGTCGGATGGCACGTGAGCTGTCGGAATTTCTAAGCAAAAGTTTCTCCGCGACGGCCGTTAAGCTGAAAGCTGAGTCATCCATTGAAGATCTCTTCCCTTCGGTCACGTGACCACTCACGTGAAAGCTGCTTCTGTCTTAGCGTCTCCACTCCATCTGCAACAAGCAGGTCTCTTCTTACACTACTGATACGCCGATGCTTGCCGAATTGCGCATTGAGAAAACCCCGCCATTCCGAGTAGCAGCTGTGGGTAGGTGCATGTGGTGGTACGGATACTTGGTCCCTCCCGGTGCAGCAGAAATCTAGTCTGCTCTATTACGCCCGATGTAGAAGGTCCAGTCCAGCGTCATGCCCCGCACCTCATTGTTCACAGGTCTTGCCCGCCCTCAAGTGGCTAGAAAGTTTGTTCCTACATACCCCAAGCCCCTCCCTTTCTGGCAGTCGATATCTCATTCTCGCCGTCACTACCTCTCTCCAACAATACAAGCCCACCAAGCTCGCAAGATGGCTCCCCAACTTGACGGCTACTTCAAGCAGGTCGATGCCGACGCCGACCACTTTATCGAGCGTCTCCGGAAGGCTGTTGCGATCCCCTCCATCTCTGCCGATGTCGAGCGCCGCCCCGATGTCGTCAAGATGGGTGAATGGCTCGCCGCCGAACTGAAGGCCCTCGGTGCATCTGTCGAGCTTCGAGCCCTCGGCGAGCAGCCCGACAAGCCTGGTCTGCAGCTCCCCCCCGTCGTCCTTGGAAGGTACGGAAGCGACAAGAACAAGCGAACCATCCTGGTCTACGGCCACTACGATGTTCAGCCAGCCGAGAAGACAGACGGCTGGGCGACCGAGCCCTTCGAACTGTCCGTCGATGACAAGGGCAGGATGTTTGGTCGTGGTGCCACCGATGATAAGGGACCCGTGCTTGGCTGGTTGAACGCCATTGAGGCTCACCAGAAGGCCGGTATCGACTTTCCCGTCAACCTTCTCATGTGCTTCGAGGGCATGGAGGAGTACGGCTCTGAGGGCCTTGATGACCTTATCAACGCTGAGGCCAAGAAGTACTTCGCTGACGCCGACGCTGTCTGTATCTCTGACAACTACTGGCTCGGAACCGAAAAGCCCTGCCTGACCTACGGTCTCCGCGGCTGCAACTACTATTCCGTCGAGATCTCGGGTCCCGGTGCTGATCTGCACAGTGGTGTTTTTGGCGGTACTGCCCAGGAGCCCATGACCGACTTGGTTCGTGTCCTTGGCTCTTTGGTTGATACCGACGGCAAGATCCAGATCCCTGGCATCATGGAGCAGGTTGCTACTGTGACCAAGGAAGAGGAAACTCTCTACGACGGCATTGCCTTCACCATGGAGACTCTCCATGAGTCACTCGGCAGCAATACCACCATCTTCGAGGACAAGAAGTCTACCCTCATGGCCAGATGGCGCTACCCCTCCCTCTCCGTCCACGGCATTGAGGGTGCTTTCTCTGCCCCTGGTGCAAAGACTGTCATTCCCGCCAAGGTTACCGGCAAGTTTTCCATCCGCACCGTGCCCAACATGGAGATCGATGCCACCAACGAGGCTGTTTACAAGTACGTCAACGAGCAGTTCGCAAAGCTCAAGAGCAAGAACACCATGAAGGTCTGGGCTCAGCACACCGGCAAGTGGTGGGTAGCCTCGCCCAAGCACTGGAACTTCTCTGCCGCCGCCAAGGCCACCGAGCGTGTCTGGGGCGTACAGCCCGATTTCACCCGTGAGGGTGGAAGGTATGGAATCTATTCCCTGCGCCCTACCTGTAGTTACTAACAAGATGGTCTAGTATTCCTGTCACGCTCACTTTCGAGCAGGCCACTGGCAAGAACGTCCTTCTCCTGCCCATGGGTAGCTCCACTGACGGCGCCCACTCCATCAACGAGAAGCTGGACAAGCGCAACTACATCGAGGGCATCAAGCTCCTCGGCGCCTACCTGCACTACGTTGCTGAGGAGCCCACCGTATAAGTGGATACTTAACTTTGGCAAGATCTCACACCAAGATGAACTAAGAAATGCGACTCTAGGCATGTACATAGAGTCAGATGCTCTCTCATATAGCCAATGGCGTTTGCGCTCGGCTTTTGGGCCGCTTATGCCGGCATGCTGTAAGCGCAAACATAGCGCAGCAGTAGGCCATCAGCCGGTTCAGGTTGTCGCAGATGTGCCCCGAGTATTTACTGCGGTGTTCAAATAATAGGTCACGTAATCAAAATACCCAAACATAAGTTGTATCGAACATGCTCCATTTGATTGATTCTAGATGCGGGGGGTATTATATCGTGAGGTGTCATACCCAATGTTTCACGGTCGTGGTATTATCAGTCATGTGCCTCATGTGCCAGCAAGCCCGTTGATAAAAAGGGAAGAAAAAAATAGAAACCGCCGGATGCAAAGATGAAACCGAAAATGGCTGGGGGATATCTTGTGACATGAGTGAGATAAGGGAATGGGGTATCTCAGCTTCCTCGAAGCTCTGCTACTTCTTCCGCGCCGTCGTCACGCGGCGGCTCCGCCTCTTGGCCACGACTTCCGGGTCCCAGTTCCCGGAGAACAGGTCCTCGAGGTCGTCCTCGTCCTCGGAATCGAACACGATGTCAACCTCCTCACCTCCGTCCGGCCCATCCCCCTTACCAGCGGCTTCCGCGGACTCGGCATCGTCTCCCCAGCGCCTGCCGCCGTCTCTCACCTTGTCGCCTTCCCCTTCAGACTCCTCCTCCTCCTCCTCCTCCTCCTCCTCCCCGTCGTCCCCCGATATGCCGTCGCCGTCCGCCGGGGCGTCCTCCCAGCTGCGGAAGGGCACGACGCGCTCGACCTCGAGGATGAACTTGCCGACCTTGTATTTCTGGCTGAGCTCCTTGGCGTCGACGTACTTCCAGCCCAGCTTGGCGTTGCAGAGGACGCAGGTGATGTCGGCGACGACGTGCCAGCCCGTGACGAGCTGGCGGTTCTCGCACTTGCCGATGCGAACGTTGGCGAGGGTGCCGGGGCCGGCGGGGCCGTTGTTGACGGTCTTGGAGGCGGAAGGGGCGCCGCCGGATACGGACGCGGAGGGGCGAGGGGCCGATGCGACGAGGTAGGCGCGGCCGTAGCGGCCCGTGAAGCCCTTGCTCACGATCTGTGAGGAGAAGGCGACATCGCAGGAGCAGGTTGAGCAGCGGAGGGTGTCGGGCTGGGTGCGCGCCAGGGAAGGGCGGCCGGTCCTGGGCCTCGCAGACTTGGCCGTTGCGACGGAGGGGCTGCCGGCGGCTGCTGCGGCGGGGGAAGTTATGGCGTCTCGGTACGACGGCGGCAGCGGGGGGCTGTTTGGCGGGGTCACGGTCTCGTCGGTCGTCGAGGACGTCGGCGACGAGACCAGGGAGGGCACCTGGATCGCGTCCGGGCTCGGGGGCGGGCTCGAGGGCGGGCTCGAGGCGGACGCCGGAGCCGCGGACGCGCGACGACGAAAGGGGATGTTGAAGCTGGGGAGGAGGTAGGTCGGGAACGTGGGCCGGGAGACGACGATGCTGGGCGCCATGGCGACGGGATTTCTGTTGTTTTATGTACTAGAGTAGAGGGCAGGGGGCGGCGGCCTTTCTGTCTCCGGAGCCCGATCCGGAAGACGTTATTCCGTTTCTTTGTTGCGAAGAGAACCCGCTCAGCGTATGCGCTACGACGTTTGACGAGTTATTGGACGTGGAAGTGGGCAGCGGCGATCGTTGAGGGTCCAACCATGATTCTTCAACTGGCAGATTTGAGAGTTGAAGAAGAGGAAGGGAAAATGGGGGGGGGGATGTAAGTGAGCACACAGATCGGCTGGTCGATTCAAGGCGAGCAGAGGCGCGTTTTTCTTTGGGACGACAAGGCTAAGAAGGGTTTTTGTTTCCTCCTTCTGCACAGAGAGTGTTTGGGTTCCGCGCGGCGGGAGAGAGGGGGCTGAGCTTAGGAGGGAGGGGCATGGGAGAAGGGAAGGTCATGCACGGGTGGTGCTCCGTGTGATGGGAGGGCTGGGTGAGAGGAAAGGCTGGGAGCAGGAGAAGGAGAGTTGAGTGGGTGGAAAGGATGCGGCACGAGACGGCAGACACGGCGGATTGGAAGGAGCCTGACTACACTTTACACTGGGGAGGGAACCTAGATTGCTAGGAAGGGTAAGGTATCGAGGGGGGGGGGGGGGGGGGGGCGGAGAGGAGGGGGGTGACAGAGAGAATTGTCTTGGTGCAGCCGTTGTAAGGTGGCGGCAGAGTCAACATTTCGAACGTCACTTGTTCTCTGGATTTATCGCTATGCTGTTGTGCGATAACAGCCCCAACCCCGGCCGCCAGTTGTGCGGTGAGGAACGACGTGTGTGTGTGTGTGTGTGTGTGTGTATGTGAGAGAGAGTGTATGATATCAAAAACGTCTGGGCGGACGTTCGGACATGCGGGTATCAGATCAAGCTTCCTGCCTGCTGCGACGCATGGCCGGGACTTGCAGATAAGCATGAAATAACGGGACTGAGATACGTATCCAAGGCGGAAACCGTTGATGAAAGAAAGGGGCGAAGGGGGTTGGGCTTGTACGGCCTCGCTTCTCGCCCCTCTTCTTCTCCTCAAGCTCTCAGAGAGAGAATGCCGACGATGTCTTGGAGGAGAACATTCCAGTCGTCTCAGATGACACGACCTCCGGAGGTGCGGGGAGATCTCATTGCACAAGATGGGCGATCAGCAGCAGTAAGTTAGGTAGTGTAGGTAGGTAGCGTTCCCATTCCCCGCCCTCTCGAAGCTACTGCGGTGCAGCCCGACGTTATCGATAACGCGAGCGTGAGCCGGTAAGGCAGGAAGAGGTGGGGAAGGGCGGACGGTGGGAGCATATCCGTACTCACTTGCCTTTTGCTGTAGGTATGTGGCATGTGGTGTGTCACTGGACCGACAAGCGTGGATGATCACCTCACTTGGCCGCCGTCAGAGGTGTCGTCCAAAACCCTCCCAACGGTCGTTGAGAGGGTGTCCCACACCTCTTTTCTGGGGAGGGGTGGGAAGCGCAAGAAAGAGGTGTGGAAGCGTCGGAGGTGGCATGGAGGCAAAAAGTATGATGAGAGACGGCGGTTACAGAAAGGCAAGTCGACCAGAAAAAAAGAAACAAGAAAAACCACATGGGAGTTGCTGGAATGAGCGACGTTTTGTTTCGGAATTGCGAGGCTATCTGATGCTGGGTGTGGGGGATCAAAGTTATGTCTCTCTCTGGATAGTTCCCATAACCGAGGCTTTTTATTTTTTATTTTTAAACAGTAGGACTGGCATGGAGTTGCCCATCCGGCGAGAAGATCGCTCGGCAGGCTCGGTGAGTGAGGATCATCACATGGCCCCGCATCGTGTTGGTGGCTGCTGCTGAGCCGGTTGGCCATTATCTTTTACCAGATCCCGCCTAAATGCGCTCTTGTCTTACTTGGCCATTCGCCTCGTGCGTCTGAGAAAGATGGATGTCAAATAGCTGCCCGGTTATTCTCAGGTAAGGATGATGCATTAATCAATCAGACCATCGTCGACAAGGGAGCCGAAGGATTACAACAACGGGCGAGCGGACCCTGGGCGATGACTCGCAATCCAGGAATCGTGAGGGGAACCGCCGTGCAAAGAACCCGTCAAGTGACCCGAACGGAAACACGGACCCCAACCCTGCAGCACCTCACTCTCCACTCGTTACTATGGCATATTGGTGATTGACATGGCATCCTTTTCAATTACTGGATTTCCTTTCAGGCGGTCATGGCCTGTCGCAATTACAGCGCGGGAGTGGCCTTCGACGATGCCGCGGCGCCGGGGACGCACACGCTATCGGGTTGGCATTGCGTCAACGGCGGAATTATTTTCTACCAAAGTCATACGCAACAAGGCGGACGTCTCCGATGAAAGCATGTTGAAGGGATGGACGTCTCGAGATTGGGGATGGAATGCCGGCCTTGACAGCAAAACCTTGGCTATTCTGGTGGTTCCCCATTTCTTTGTGCGATTATGTTACCTGTCAACGATGCGGTGATGGATGGCTGGCTCCTGGCCTCGGGGATGGGTCAGACCTTCCCGGCCCACGTGCAGCTCAGAAGAAACGGACAGCTCGGGACATGAGAAGAAAAAGATTACACTACGTTTACTCATTCTTGTTGGATGGATCCATGAGCAGAGAGGAGGCAAACACTGTGATACTGTACTATGTATGGCGCGTCGTCTTTGGGCTGGATTTGGAGGTGTCCACGTGCCTACGAGCGTGCGAGGTGGGTCTCACGGCCCTTGTTCCATTGGCAAGCGCGCCCGCAGCCAGCATGTCCTGAGTGCCAAGCGCCGCGCCGCGCCGCCGGAGCCGGATTGAGAGCGTCCACCCGACTTTTCCTGTGTGCTGGCCGCCCGGAAGCAGCTGAGGGAGAATGCGAGAGGCATGGAGTAGGTGATTGTAGCCCAGTTATCCTTAGAGGCGAAGCATAGGGTAGGAATATGTCTCTGACGATGGGCCAGACATTTTGCGGACCTGTGATCCGGAGTGAGTGGCCAAGCTGAGCGCCAGGCCAATGCAATGCAGCCCAAGAGAAAACGTGCTCGACAGTGTGTGGGTGCGCAACATGGGCGGCGCGCCATGGGCTCCAGCCGGTTTTGGTTTCGTACGATGTATGCCTACCCAAGGCCAGACCCCCTTCCCTCTCAGCACTCCTCCAATTGCCGAGACCTCCAAGTGAGAAATGAAACAATGAGCAAGCTGCGCTGGAGTTGTTCCCCAAAACGCTCTGCTGCGTAATGTTGATCCATGGCGGAAGGAAAGGGGTCCTTGAACATGGGAATTGAGTAGACCGCAGACATGCAGACGCCGAAGGATGAGTCAAGAGTTTCGTTTGACTACCCAAACTACACTAGATACTTACCTAGGTACAGTAGTGGTATCCCAAAGTGTGTGTGCATTGGAGAAAAAAGACATGGGTCCGCCGCTGGAAAGGAAGGGTGGAGAAGAGTCGTGGCTTAACATGACTGTTTTGAGTGGTCCACTGCTGGGTTTTTGTGGGGACATGGTGGTGGTGGTGTGCCCGCCTCCCACCTTTGAGGCAAGCCCCTGCTGGGCAGTCACTTTCAGGGTTGGCTTAGGCTGTGAGTTACGCTGCACCAGCAGCCTGCTGCACCGTGGTCCCCCTAAAGTTGTCTTCTCCGCCACCCTAGACGTTTCCACACTTCTGAGCAATTCGGCTGTCCCCCTGGGTTTTTTATTCACCGACCGCCCGCGCGCTGACCTTTTCCTCGTCCCGTTTCCTTATCTTTCCATCGCTTTACCGCTGATATATCTCGTCTTACCCGCAACAACCGCCGTCTTCCAAACAACAAAACGAAAAAACCCCAAGACGATATCGCATCTTCCTCGCTCACCAAAGCATTCCATCGTCATCCTAGCCTCTATCAGCTTCAACAACGCACGCAGGAACCCCAGTTCTCTCGAATCCACTCCACCTTCACCATCGTCGCTACGTCAATCCGCCTCACTTTTCAAAAACTAAGAAAAACAAAGTCGGTCACCAATCACCGCCCCCATCGACGAACGGTTCCGAATTCCCGAGAACCGACTCAATCACCTACATCGAAACCATCACACAGTCTAGCAACCAACCCCCGAGAAATCAATTGCAATGGCGCCCATGAATCAGCAGAGTAATTACTCCAGTAGTAATTATGGTGAGGCCATTGTCCGTCAGGCCAATGTCCTCGCCAGCTGCTACATTGTCGATTCCGCCGCGACTCTTCGCGGTCTCCACTACTGCACTACCGGGGCCGCAGGTATGTAACAGTCTCCCAGGACCCTTCCCTCCTCGGCCTTCCATTCCACGCCACATGATCGCGGCTCTACTCCTCTCCCCCACGCAAGCCTTCAGCCTCAATCTCGAGACAGAACGCCGATCGCTCGGCTTCTTGTCTCTCCCTCCCCTCCCTCCCCTCCATCCCCACTCTCGTGCATCCTGCTGCCGAACCCGAGACTTCGAAAACACCGAGAGACTAACCTATGCTATCAACAGGGGCCGAGTGGTATTCCTGAGGTCCCCTCCTCAGGATTACCATCTCCTCCGTCAAGTCCCCCCCTCGCGGCTATCACGGCGTCCAACGAGCTTGCGCTGCTTCCCAAGGCCAGCAGCAAGCATCGCGACGCCGTGCCAGGCAAGCGAATTAGCCGTCGAGGGGGGGCGGCGCTCTCGATCAGGGAAGAATGTGAAAGGTTCTTTTGCGAGTCCATGAGGGCTGTGTTCCGCGGTGAGACGGACACTGGCCCCCGTGGCTCCGGCCTGCATCAGGGTGTTTACAACAACAATAACAACAACAACGGCAGCACGAACGCAACAATGCTGCAGACTCCGCCGCCGGACGAGGACCTCGCCGTCCAACCGCACCCCTTTGGGGGTCGGTGCGGGACCGCGGACGGGAATTCCGTGGCATCTTCCGCCCCGGCCCCGGCCACGGCCTGGTTGGAGGTGTGGGACTTTGCCGGCGGTGCGAGCTTCCGGGCCTTTGTGGCGGACGACGGGACTGAAAGGTCCCTCTTCGCACTATTTGACAGAAACGTCATTGGACGTGACCTGAAGCCAGCGTATGTCCCCCCCCCCTATAACGTCGGCTGTCCGCCCTTTTCGTGGTGTGGTAAGCTATGTGAAACGCACCTGTTAGGGCCCACCGGATCTGTTGTAACCCGATCTATGGATTAACTGCGAAATTGTATACAGCATCATTGTGGAGTTAACACCAATTAGTCTCTTAATTTCTCTTTGGTTTAAAAATTCGGGCTCATCTTAAGCACAGTACGACGAGCTTTCCAATATATGCAAGACTGATAGTCATTGGGCTAGTTGGTGCAGCTGTGATCAGAGGTCACAGAAATTGCGAGTGAGATACGCCACTTACTCCCCCCAAACGAACTATTTTACAGGCCCCGAGTGTATTATCTACATCAGATTCACTCGATCCCATCCGACGCAGGCCTCTTAGCATAGGCCTGGGTTTTTCCCCCCCCCCCCCCCCCCCCCCCCCTTCTCCTGAGAGTTGCAACTGACATAACCCCCAGGCTCATGGCGCTGATGGAGTTGGTCGACGGACCCCTCAACTGTCAGCATCTGGTCATCTGCATCGACCGGGGCATCGAGGAGGAGGATGCGAAGTCGCTGATGAAGAGCCTGCAGTGGGTCGGCTTTGAGCTGACGACGCTGGACCACTGGGCGCGCGACGTGGACGTGACGAGCGATCAGTGGCTGTTTATGAGCATGGAGATCTAGCATTACCCGGACCTCGTCCGTTCGCGTTCTGTCTTGGGGTCTTGTGAGTTCATAAGCTAGGCAGTTTGGGAGTTTTTCCTTGATTTTTTCTTTGGGCTTCGTCCGCGAATTCCCTCCCCCCCCTTTTTAACGGTTCACGTCTCTGCTTTTGTCAGCCTTTTTCGGCTTCCGTACCTTGCGTGCTTGGCAAAAGTAGTTTTTTGTTTAACCCTTTCTCCGTTCTTCTCTTTTTTGTGTGTACAGAAACAGCTCAGGACTGAGGACACGACCAGCATGGAACGGAGAGCGGAAAAAAAAAGGGGGCACCGTCGCAAAAGCATCAAGCAGAAATGGGATCTCAGTCTCGTGTTTTTCTGGCATTTTTCTTTTCTTCTGTACTTGTATACGAGAGTCAACCCGTTGGGGGGGGGGGGGGGGGGCTGTTTCCGATCCCCTCACTCTTCATCTGGCCATGGAGTTCGTCATTGCCGGCTGGGGAGTGGACTTCTCTTAAACTTGGATCGCTTCATGAAGGCTTGCTTTTCAGGATGGCCGTTTCTTCCTTCTTTTTTTCTTCGCTTTGGGTATAGGGATGGAACGGTTTTTGCAACAATTGGTCCGGCCAGGAGATATTGACGCATCCTATCTCCATAGTCGGGCGTGTGCACGCGTCACAACTGGAGCTTTCCAGGCTTTGTCCGTCACGCTGAAATCAGAAAGTTTGAATAAGTTTGGAGACAGAACCAAAAAAACCATGGTTATTTTTCATATATACTCCCCCCCCCCCCCCCAGATATCGTGATGATGTATTCGTCTCGAGCTTTTTTAAGTGAACATGTCTTGATTTATTCGTGCCGTGGTCTATATACTCTCCTCGAACTGCCTCACCTTGAGCCCCTTCTCGGCCAGGAAATCCTTGACCTGCTTCACTGTGTACTCGCCGCGGTGGAACATGCCGGCGCCCAACGCGGCGTCGGTCGTCGTCTGGGCAAACACCTCCTCGAAGTGCGCCGGGTGCCCGGCGCCGCTGGAGGCGATGACGGGGATCCGAACGGCCGCCTTGACCTGGGCGATGAGCTCGAGGTCGAAGCCACTGTTGGTGCCGTCCTTGTCGATGCAGTTGAGGAGGATCTCGCCGGTGCCCATGGCCTCGACGGCCTGCGCGAGCTCGACGACGTCCATGTCGCGCGTCTCGCGGCCGCCCTTGATCGTGCACGCGTACCAGCAATACTCCTCACCCTTGGGGCCCGGGGCCGCCGTCCGGATGATGTTGTGTCGCGTCGCGTCGGGCTTGGGCACGTAGACGCGCTTGGGGTCCACGGAGACGACGACCGCCTGGTTGCCGTAGGCCTTGGAGATCTGCTCGATGGCAGTGTTGCCGAACAGCTTGCGGCCGGCGCCGTAGTACTCCTCGGCCGCGAGCACGGCGTCGGAGCCGATCGACACCTTGTCGGCGCCCGACTTGAAGTACATGGTGGCGATCTCGAGGGCCGAGACCTTTGTGCCGTCCGTGTCGACGGTGTCGCGGATGCCGCCGCCGACGGTCAGCGGCACGAAGACAGTCTCGGAGGTGCGCCGGAGTATCTCAAGCATGGGCACGTCGGCCAGCGGGCAGTCGCGGAAGCTGGTGATGTTGAGGAAGGTGACCTCGTCGGCCCCCTGCTCGTAGTAGCGCCGCGCCATCTCGACGGGCTTGCCGAGGTTGCGCACGTTGTTGCCCTCGCCCTTGTCGCGCACGTCGTACTGGTCGCCCTTGGTCACGACGAGGTCGCCCTGGTCGTTGGCGCGAACGTCGAGGCAGGCGATGACGCGGCGCGTCAGGCCGTCCTGGAAGGGGACCGCGGCAGCAGGGGGCGTAACGACGGCGTCGCCTCCCGCGAGGGCCGCGGCACCGGAGCCGTCGAGGAAAGCACGGAGGCAGCGCAGGCCGGCGGCGCCCGACTTCTCCGGGTGGAACTGCGTCGCGAAAACGTTGCCCCGAGCGAGGGCGCCGACAAAGGTCTCATCGCCGTAGGTGCCCGTCGCGACGGTCCAGCCCTGGGCCTCGAGGGCGCCGCGGATGTAGGGGTACTTGTATGTGTGGACGTAATAGTATTTTGAGTCTGGGCGGAGGTCGTAGAGGCTCGCGCCGCCCGTGTTGGCGCTGTTCCAGCCGATGTGGGGGACGGACTTGTCGGAGGACTCGAAGCGGTCGAGGCGGCCCTTTGCGACGCCGAGGCCGGGGACGTCGGGGTCCTCGGCGGAGCCTTCGAAAAGGGCCTGGAGGCCGACGCAGATGCCCATGAAGGGCTTACCGGAGGCGATGTGGGCGGAAATGGCGGGGAGAAATCCGGCTTGGGCGAGCTGGGAGAGGCAGTGGCCAAAGTGGCCGACGCCCGGGAGGATCAGTTTCTGGGAGAGGGGGGAGCAGGCGTTGGTTAGCTTCGGACAATTGATCTGCGAGATGCCGATCTTCAATGGCATACTTCCGCTGAGGGGACATCTTCGGGTTTCCTAATCCACTCGACTTCGTAGCCGACCTTCTCGATGGCGTTCACCAAGCTGCGAACATTGCCCGCGACGTAGTCCAGCAGGTGGACCTTTGGCATGGTGGGCAGGCTGGCTCTCGATCGGCTGGGGTGACTGAGTATAGGTGTAATAGATGGACGGTAATGCAACTCGAGCTTTAGAATGAGTCGAATGCGCCGTTATAAGAGTCGTCGTTTGCCGGGGTCTGGACGAGAACCATCTGTGAGTCAAAGGGGACGGGATGTGCTAGTTCTCCCGTCTGTAAAGAGTCACTGCAGGGGAAATTTACTTGCGATAGCGGGGCAGAGGGGTTGTGAGCAGCAACTGTGATATGAAGACCGAACGGGGTGTGCCCCGCATCAAACCCCGAGAGGCACCCCCACCCTCCCCTGTCCAATTGACCGTTGCCCTGTCGTAATCTGCCTGGAACAGGAAATCTGCTTCAATCAATCTGACTGAGCTTCCTCAAAATTTCCCCCATACTACAACCGCCCTCCTCAAGATGGGCATGGCAATTCAAACGGGTGCTCCTTGACGCCTTCTATGACCTACCTTGCGGGTTATATTAAATCCGCAATTTTCCCCAAGTCGAACTCAATGAACGAATTTCATCCTTTGGCCGGAGCCTTCTTCCAAAGTTTGACGCGATAGCATGGCCACCAACGCGCCAACATCCTCGGTCGCGCCAGTGGTTGCAGCCACTGCGCCTGCGGATCAGCCGTCCAGAGCACCCACCGATCCCGAAGACGGCGATGAATCGGAGTGGGAATACGAATACTCGACCACTGAGACTGAGGTGGGGCTGCCGTGACGGACGTGGTTAGAAGAATTAAACTGCTGACGCACACGAGACATACTACCTCACTGTCGACCTCTCGATCCCCCAGCTCCTGCGGCGAAAGCGAAACACGCCGGTTTCTGGTCGTGGAGGATACCACTACAAGCACTGGGCTGGCCCTCACCGGAAACCCGACGAGCCAAAACACCACCGCATCCTCTCAGATGATGAGAACGATGACAAGCCCACGGCCGAGCCCGAAGAAGACGAAGACATAGACCAAGGTCAGGTTGAACCGAACACGGACGGTTTCGATGCCGACTTTGAGTCTGACCCGGCGGCCGACATACAGATTCTGGACCTGCACTCGGACAAGCCCATGTTCGCATACAAGGGGAAGGTTTTCGAGGGGCAGTGGGCGCGCAACCTAGGCACAGAGGTCATATTCACAGAACACGACGATCAAGACCCTCTCCCTGCCCTTCGACATCTCCCGGGCGGTGTGGACATGCTCGCGGCCAGCTGGTCGCGCATCAATACGACGGAGAGGCGACTGGAACCGAAGCATGAGGCGGCAGCCAAGGACGACCCCTTGAAGGAGATCAGGAGGCAACATGGAATACATATCCCCATCACAGCAGACAAGACAGGCGAGCGAAAGCGACAAACCAGGTTTCTGGAGAACCTCATGGCGCTGAAAGTCAAAAGGGGCGAAAAGGACGAAGTGACGGTGTATGCGCACGCGGCTCGGAAGGCGGTCAACGAGGGCACGAACAGTCGAAGGAAAAGACGAAAATCGTTGCCAGAAGGCCAATCAAGGAAACGTCGGGGCCGCGGCGGCGGCGTCCGCAGGAGAGGCGGCCCGTTGGCAATGGAGGTTGGTTTCGAAAGCAAAGCAGAGCCAGGCGACTCAGCCGAGGCAGCGGGCCCTCGAGACGGAACCTTGTCTACGCCAACGCCGACGACATGGGCAGACCTGGGTGGACGGAGCGAAACCGTGGACACGGTCGCGGGCCCAAACGACGAGGATGATGGAAGCGAGGACGATAGCGAGGAATACGATGGTGGGGACCTGGAATAGGAAACCTTACGAACACGTCTCCGATCTGAAGATGGGGCGCATCTGATCTACCACACACAAACTTTTGACCCCGCGACCGATCTCGCGGTCCCAGTTCAGCACCAAGTTGGCCAGTTGGAGCTAGATAAATGGTAGTTTCCGATAAGGGAGCGCCTCGGATAGGGACGTTGAAACTGCATGATGGCATTATGAGGCTTGAGGGCCGCCCGTTGCCGGGTACTCCTGGGATGGCACATGATCTTGGCGACAGACCTGCACGGAGACATGATGTGGTCATGCTATGGAGTGTCAGGGAAACTGTTGAGTCGGCAGGAAACCTCTCAACGGTGTAGGGCCCGCAACTGTTGCACCTACGTAGCATGCATTAGGTAGCGTTATCGATTCACTGTCACGACGAGGGAATTATCCGGACGCAAAGATAAAACGAACAAAACCCTTAAAAGAAAAAGAGAAAAGACAATGGAGGACCTTTTTCCATTACTTACATAATAGTTCGCGGATATCGCGGCAAGACGACGCTCAAGCGCAGCGTATGTAAAGTTGTCTCCGCTGTGTCACTCTCGACGCACCACCCGCGCACCCACTGCCAGCTGACACGCCATCTATCGAATGGAGAGCACCGCTCGTAATGGCCACAGGGATCGCCTGGCTGCTACGCTGCAAACACTCCGCGGCGAACGGGGCCTGGTATCTGCACTCTGTACGGCTGTAGGCCTGGCTCCGTCTCGTGGGAACCTACAGGGTTCTGGTTGGTCCCCCGCAGATCTGAACCCGTTGCATAAGGTACCTGTCGCCTTGCTGTATTCCTTGCCAAGCCGCGAAGGGAGATACCTGCCGCTTCGGTATGTGTCCCGCAGAGAATCGTGTACCTTCCCACCCCGCCCCTTTCCTCAGGGAATACTTAGGTACCTATGACTTGGTCGGGTGGCGGGCTGCCGCATCGACGGCAGCATCCGACTAATGGGACGTCCATCTGGCCCCCCGTGCCCCCCTCTCCAATCCCTATGATCCCTACGCCCACTCCCGTCCGTCCCTGATTCCGTTGTCGCTCTCTCTCACCGTTGCCCGCGCATCCGCTTGGTTCCGTCCCAAATCCCAATCCCAAGGCTTGCTGCAGCCATTCCCTTTCCTCCTCGCCCTCTCCGGCATTAAACTTTCCTCCATCAAGTCGAAACAAAACACACCAAACACCGTTCAGAGGGCCTCAGCGTTCCGTTGGCCATGCATATCCGCCCGCATTTCCCACCTCCAACGTCTTTGTAGCGGTGTACAACTGGTGATGCTGTACGAGACACCGCTGGCTCTCACAAGACGTGCCAGCATCCCGAAGCCCCTCCGAGCTATCCTCACTCGGCCTCCGTAGCCGCCAACATCATTCTACCTGTCGACGCGGCCCAGTACTTCGATTACTCATCCCTTTACGAAGCACCTCCTCAACTGCGAGGCCTGGAGCCAACATCGCCATTGCAATGTACTACCTGCGCCGCATCACTATCCTCGCTGCCATCCTGGCCTCCGTCTCGTTCCTGGCATGGTTCTTGCCTCGATACCTCAACCCAAACCCGCCGGACCCCGCCAAGCAGCGCGAGGACAGGAGATGGGTCAGCAGCAGTCCCTACTGGCTCGACCGCCAGGCTTGTCGATGGCTGAGTCTTTGCGGTGTCCATCATCTCTCCTGGGACCCCGCCTATCTCGTCCCTCATAACGATTCCGACGCGGGTGAGTTGCGCCTAGAGCTGAGGTCTCTCGATGGACGACACTCCGGCTGGGAGACGGCACCCCGGAAGCGGTCGCCGCGGGACGACAAAGAGGAGAGGCGGAAGACCCTGAAAGAAATCCCCAACTACGTTCTTGAGTATGCGCCGCTCGTCCACCTCTACTCGGGCGAGAACTTCTGGCCCTCCGACATTGCGGAGCATATCCGACACATGACGCCCTACTTGGAAGAAGAGGCCTTGAACCGCTCTCTCGCTCTGTCGGACCTGCACGAACTTAACAAGGAGGACGGCATGGTCTACCTCACCAGCGATGACGACGTTGAGCAGAGACCCGAGTGGCTGCACAGCCACGTTGGTATTCCCGAGCCATGGGACGATGAGGGGGACGACGATAGAAATAATGGCCCCGACAACAATGATCGTCCGTCCGAGGACTTTGACCACCCACCGCCTCCCACAGAAGATACGACTTGGTTCGACGTATCACGCGATCATCCTGTCAACCGCATCTCGGACCCTCGTCGCCTAGCTCCACAATTTGCTCCCTCATCCGCTCGTACCAGCGGCTTTCACCTCCGTCGCCGAGACCAGGACCAGAAGCCGATACCCGATACGCCGACTCACAAACCCAACCAGGAAGGCTATTCCAAGGCCCCCGCCATCCTCGTTCTCGTAGACAAGGGCTCCGGCATTGTCGACGCATTCTGGTTCTTCTTTTACTCGTACAATCTGGGCCAGACCGTGCTGACAATCCGGTTTGGCAACCACGTCGGTGACTGGGAGCACTGCATGATGCGCTTCGAAAACGGTGTTCCCCGTGGCATTTTCTTCTCCGAACACGAAGGCGGTCAGGCCTACACTTACAACGCCGTTGAGAAGCGGGGTCTTCGCCCCGTCATTTACTCCGCCGTCGGATCTCACGCCATGTACGCGCAGGCCGGCGACCACCCCTACGTGCTACCCTTTGGTATGTTGAAGGACGTCACGGACAAGGGTCCTTTGTGGGACCCGGCGAAGAACGCCTACACGTACTGGTATGACTACGCCCAGGATTTGGACGAGGACCTCGACCTCGATCTCGACGGCGAAGTCGACGTGGCTAGCGGCCACCGGAAGGACAACCCCACCAGTCTAGTCCCGACGGCGGAGAACCCCGATGCGCCAACGTCCTGGTTCCACTATGCCGGCCCTTGGGGCGACAAGCTATACAGTCTTGCCGACGTGCGCCAATGGCGGCTTTTTGCCCAATATCATTACGTCTCAGGACCGCTGGGACCCAAGTTCAAGCGTCTTGATCGGGAGAAGCTCTGCATCACCAGACGCTGCCGGATTCTCAACAGCCTAAAGCCTGGACAGACGTGGTACAGTTAGACATGACGGAGTTCATAGGCAAAGTCTTTTTTTGACAAAGGAGTGAAAGAAAGGAACCCGTACAGGGTTACAAGAACCAAGCGCGCAACGGCGCTCTTTCAATGGCTACGTATAGATAACCTTTCTCCTACCGCGAGGAGGGCCGGGGGCGTCGGCTGAGGCAATCGGGTATTGGAGTTTTGTGTTGCTTTCTTGGACTAGCCTGGTCTTGATACCCTCAAACCATATTCCCAACTAGATGACCTTTCAAAGTTATTCTTTCCGTTTCATGGGCCTAATGTATGTGATGTGACTTTTATTTTGCAAACCCCTCCAGGAAGGGGGGTTATCGTCACTCATGCGCAAGGCTACCGAGAGAGCCAGAGGAGACCGGTCATTTGAGTGGGTTTTACCTATTTGTGAGCGTTCCGATCACATCACTCGATAATGCCCCTCGCCCTCGTGGAGCCCTGCGTGATCACCTGCCTTGGTCTTGTTGCACGCGGAAAGCATGACTAGCAAGGGCATGCTCGAAACCAAGTCGCAAAGACAACCAGGCTACTCAGGTTTCTGCTCGTGACGCAGGGAGTGAGAGGGGAAGGGCCTGGAAGCCAGACGGGGACGGCCATTATCTAGCACGACTTGGCTGTTCCGGCGCGGATTACCATCAACATGGGGTGAGAGTCTGGTCGCGGGATGTCCCCATTTTGTTCAGGGAGGCAATCGAGAATGCGATGTGTGTAGCTACCCCGACCCGGTCGGCTTGGGTGTTGAAGAAGGGACTGACAATGTTTCTGGACGAGTTTCGCTCCAGAATGGCATCGGAGCCGATGATGACGACCGTTTCCTTGCTGGCTACTGCTAAAGCTGTAAATGAGGCTCCATGGTCAGTATCATGGTGAATAATAGTGTGGAGCGGTGGGTTAAGACTGGAAAGCTCCTTGAACATGAATCCATGTGTCGTCTTACGAGCCATCGTCAACGGCAATGATATGCATCCTGTCACTCGGGCAACTTGGAGACGGCACAGGGCATACCGAGCTTCTAGCAAATGCTGACTTGCCGTCCACCAGGATCATGAAGTCGATCGTAGGAAGTATGCTATTGTCTTTTGAATCCCCGTGTTGGCTCGTGGTCTGACCCTCTCTCCTATTATCATCGACAAAAACCAAGGTCCTGAATTAGTAACCCGTGTATCCTCGAGCCCATCCCAAGTTTAACCGTCCCTAGCTTAACTTGAGGTCATCTCAACTACTCGGCCGGAAAGTCCGCCCTCTTACCAAGTGACGAGGAAGCGTCATGGCCCATTACTACCTTCAGTTCTTGAATCCGTGGCAGGTTTTAGTACCTGTGTGATACTAGCTGACCAGGGACGTTATTGAGACTTTTGTCCAAGATGAAAGCCACGCATGTCAAGACTTGATATTGCGGTACTCGGCAATGCTCACTACATAAAGATGGCTGATGCCGAGGAGGGACCTAACAGGGATTCCATAAGCACTAGGCGATTCTCGGCTTGACTTTGTTCACAACCAAAAATCACTACATGTTGGATCTATGCATTATGGTATGGTCTGATGTTCTTCATTGCGAGGCTTGAATGGATGATGCGGCAAATACAAAAATACACCTACCCTGCTTTGAATCTCTGGGAGAGGAGAGAGAGAAGCAACTCACGACAATCTCGATAGAACAATGCATCTGTCGGGATATTCAACCGGTCGATGGTGGAGCCGATCCGGAGTTACGTGATTCATCTCACGTGACCCACCTCGGCGGCTCACTTACACCATCACGAATATCCACGGCAGCAACCTCTTCCCTTTTCTTTCATCATCATCTTCAACTAGCAGCCAATATTCAATTGATACTATTGCTGCTACCACGATCGCGATACCTGTGATACCAACAGTATCTTTTTCTGTTCGGCCCTTTTCTGTTCAGTCAAGTCCCATATGCATGACCTGCCACGGCCTAAACCCGTGACCGCCTTGGGTCATCTCACCGTCACTGCTCAAATCTAAACCGTACCAGTAGTAGTTTCAATGACCTTCGTTTGTACACCGAGCTCGCTCGTTTACTCAGAGTCGAGCGGGTAAAACTAGAGTCGTTACCACTGCTCGCTCCCCCGCTCTGAACTAGATGATTCCAAATCAGCCAGCGGTTGATTGATGCACGATATGCGGGGTGGTCTTCGTAATCCTTGCTGTGGGATTAAGCCCGGCAAGGCTTCCGACATCTCCGCCAAAAGTCCGCCCAACTTTATGCTAAGTAATAAGAGGCCCCAGAGCTGCAAGACGTTTCCGGAGCATACTATGAACCAGTCCATCCACCCTAATCAAATTACCGCATACCTACCCCGTCGACATACAGCCATGGCTTCCCTTACCAATCCCGCGATTCCCAGAGGGTCACTTGTCCTAGTGACAGGCGTCAATGGATACCTCGGTTCGCATGTTGCAGACCAATTTCTTCATTATGGCTACAATGTTCGCGGTACCGTTCGTGATGTCGCCAGCAATGGCTGGCTCTGCGACCTGTTCGAGGGCAAGTACGGCAAGGGAAGATTCGAGCTCGTGGCAGTGCCAGACATGAATACCGAGGGAGCATATAACGAGGTGGTGAAAGGTGCATTCTCGTTCAACATGTCTCTCCCCAGGTGCAAAACCCGGCGCTGACCATGTTGTAAACACAGGGACGTCGGCCTTCATCCACGTTGCCGCTGTTGTCGGGTTTACACCCAACCCACACGAGGTGATCCCGATTACCGTTGCAGGCTCCCTCAACGCATTGAAGGCAGCCTACGCCGAGCCCGGCGTCAAACGGTTTGTCTTGACCTCGTCCTCGTCAGCGGTCGTCCCCGCAGACCCCGTGACGTATAAACAACAACCCCATGTCATCACGCACGATACTTGGAGCGCGGATGCCGTCGAGCTAGCGTATGCCCCTCCGCCGTACACACCGGACCGCAGCATCATCGTCTACAGTGCCAGCAAAGTCGAGTCTGAGAAGGCGGTGTGGGAGTATCACAAAGAACACCGACACGCACGACCGGACCTGGTTGTCAACGCGGGTACCTACTTGTCCCAAATCTCCATTTGTTGAATGGGCAAAACCGACTGACTCTTGCAGTCCTTCCGAACACAAACTTTGGCAAGTGCCTCGATGTGGCAAACCAGGGCTACCGCACGAGTGCAAGATTCATACTTTGCCTCTGGAAAGGTGTTGCGATCCCAGAAGCCGCCAGAACACCTTGTAAGACCCCGCCCGAGAGCCATGGTCTCGGTACTGACTTTTTGGGCAGATTACTTTGTAGACGTACAGGACACCGGCGTACTTCACGTTGCGGCGGCTGTTCTGCCAGAGGTCCAAGACGAGCGCATCTTTGCGTTTGCAGAGCCGTTCAACTGGGATAGAGTGCTGGCTATCCTGCGTCAGCAGAACCCCGATCATTCGTTTGGCGATGATTTTGAGGGCACGGAGTTTCCGCATACCATCGAGCCCAGAGACAGAGCAGAGACTTTGTTGAAGAAGATGGGTCGTCCGGGATGGACTTCCTTGGAAGATAGTCTCCTGAATAACACGGAGAGCCTGCGCAAAGTCGAAACCTCACCGGTATCGTGAAATGAAGGAGGTCATCCTTTTTTTCCCCCGGGTATCAAATTTCTTGGGCGCACTGAGATAGCATAAAAGTCAGCCATATATATATTTTGTGCTTTCACCATGTGCCGGTGAGAGTGACTTGTCGAGGAACACCGACACTGCGGCATAGCAAGACTTCAAGTCCCAGGATACCACCTTTCATAGTAGGACCCAAAGGCCCTCGATGAACAGATGGACCCAGATTCTAGGTCTGTTTGATACATGAGTGGGGGGGCGGGACGACGGTTGGTAGAGGATTTTAACGTTCGTGTAAGTTGAACATGTAGCCTACTTCAAGGGCGAGCACTTGCGCATGGCGGTCCGGACCTAACGAGCCCCAGTCATGGGCTGGCAGCCCAAGGGTGAGGAGACGTTGAACGGCCGCAATAACATTGGTTGCATGCCTGGGCATTGGAAAGGAACATTCCGGGCGCACGTTGATTCGCTCGACTTGTGGCTTGTCTCGCTATCGCGGCAGTCTCGACACTCTAGTCTCCCATACCTACATCAATGGTACTCGCACTCCACTCAGCGCAGTACCTATTACTCGACCTTATCACCTTATCAAAAGCCCGCTTCATCCAAAGGGGGGCTGGCCGGTACCGGAGTGAGACTAGCTGCTGGAAAGGCAGATGCAACCTCGCGCGCAGAAGCAAACTTAAGCCTTGGGCTGCAGGGGATGCGCAACATCTGCGGCGAGTTAAAAGGTGCAGATTCCAAAGCGCGGATGCCGGGCAACGACCGAAACATTTCTGGAGTGATGAACCAGTCTCATCGGGGCCGTCTTCCAAACAAGCAGCACATGGCAGCTGTCGCATTCATTCCGAAGGTGATCGGTTCATCCGACCACTGTAATCATTTCATACCACTACCCAGACTTAAGGAGGAGAAAGGAAAAGAAAAAAAAAAAAGTGGAAGAAAAGGGGAAGTGAAAAAGACAGCCTATAATCAACGACATGTGATTTCTAATCAACCCCTCCATCTTACCCCTCCATCTTACCCCTCCATCGTCGGCTCTCCCGCGAGCCCGCCCAGCGTTCAGACGCAGAGAGAATAGGCAAAACCCGCGCGAAAAATTCAGAAATTTCAGTAAAAAAATAGGCCGAGAAATCTCCAAGCCTCTAACCCCCCACCTGCACCGCAGATACCGAACTTTCGACATCCGCCGCGCCCTTTGCAACTGTGCAATCACTATATCCCATTCCCAACCTCCATCTCTCTTTCTCTCCTCCCAATCTCTCTCTCCTGTCGCATTCTAGAACACTTCTCTCGGAAACGTCCGATCCCCATCCGATCATCCCCCCCTTCTCCAATATTGACGTGATCGAAACTTCATCATCGGAGCCCCTCCATTGGATAGAACCCGAAACCCCCCCCCCCCCCACCACCGCCGCCGCCGTCGACACCGGGCTGAGCCGCACGCTGCCTTTTTCCCACCTTAACCACTTTAACTACACCACAAGGGCTTCTCATTTGACCGCCCAGCTGTTGCGCAATCGCAAGACGTTGAAGAGTTCCCATGCGACAGCGAAGCCTGCAACTGCACCGTCCCACCTGTTCGCCTTGTTTTTCAATCGCCCCCCCTGGTCTAACGTCTTGTCACGTTCTTACCTTTGCCCCCGCTTCCAAAAGGCACACCCCTCACGAACCATAGAGGCTGTCGTTGTCGTCGTGACTTAATTGTCAGATGCTCTGAGGACATTGACGATCGCCGACGAATTCATCGGACAACAGCCCTTTGCCACCACTGCGTCGTCTTCGTCGTCGCTTCGGGAAATCTTCTGAGAGCCTTCTTCCTGCGTTTCACTTCATAGCTCCGTTATCGTTCAAAACGCCCATCCCCGGCAGAACCCGGCCGTAGCCGCAGCTGCAGCCCTCCAGCATAGAACACCAGAGCAACTGCGTCACCAACCATGGGTCTCCTGCAAGTCGCCGCGCGCACCGTCTTTTTGCCATTGCATACTCTGAGAAGCGTCCTAACAACTACCGTAGAGCTCTGGGAACCGCCCTAGACTGGCCCGATGCCAAGCAGCGCGCCGGACAGGTTCGGGAATGGGGCATCAAGGTTTGAGACCCTTTTCCCCTGCCCACGCCCCAGGCGAGATCCGGCCGGCATAGTGAGAAGTCCCGTGTGCTAATGCTGACTCCTGTAGCAACTCTTAGAGATATGGAACAAGGCCAAGAGTAAGGAGCGCGACGCCATGCTCTGGGGAGACGAGGTACGTAATGCGTGCGTGCTACGGCTCACGAGGCGAAGCATCTCATGCATGGCCCGCGGCACCTGACACTTCTCATTCTCATGAGTTGCATCCTCCATCGGCTCCTGTTCTGAACAGTCTCGCATAGGTCGAATACCTGGTGGTGACCTACTCAAAGGATGAGCCCAAGGTCCGCCTCTCACTCAGACAGGCCGAGATTCTCACAGCACTCGCCGAGAGCCCCGACCTCGCAAAGGAAGGCGGCTGCGTACCGGACCTGCAAGATGTTGCTAGGGATAAATCGTGCGTTCCTCTCTCATGTTGACTTCTCATCCGCTCACCGCTCACCACCCTGCACACACTCGCATGCCGTGCTTCACGAGGTGGGGGCGTTGAAGGACCACTCGACTGACCAGGCCAGAGCCGTGACCCTCCCCGTCTTCCACCCGGAGTTCGGCCGCTTCATGCTCGAGGCGACCCCCGGCAAGCCCTGGGGCATCGGCTTCAAGGAACTCCTCGACGTCGAGCCCGACATGAAGCTTCGCCGCAAGATCGCAAAGGACCACATGCACCCCAACGAGTATCCCATCACCCTCACCACCTTCCCGCGCCTCGGCTGCCCCGGCGACTTTACGGAGCCCTACTACCCGCCCTCCGGGTCCAAGCTCCGCTCCCAGTTCGTCCCGGACGAGATCGCCAACCCGCACATCCGCTTTCCGACCCTCGCCGCCAACATCCGCTGGCGCCGCGGCCGCAAGGTCCAGGTCAACGTCCCCGTCTTCCACGACCGCAACACCCCCAACCCCTGGCGGGACCCGACGGTCAACTACGACCTGCACAACTGGCCCGAGGACGACGACGTCCGCACGGGCGGCGCCGCCCCCGACAACTTCATCCACATGGACGCCATGGCCTTCGGCATGGGCAGCTGCTGCCTCCAGATCACCTTCCAGGCCAAGAACATCACCGAGGGCCGCAAGATGTACGACCAGCTCAGCCCGCTCGGCCCCATCATGCTCGCCCTGACGGCCGCCACGCCCGTGTATAAGGGCTTCCTCGCAAACACCGACGTGCGGTGGAACCAGATCAGCCGCGCCGTGGACTGCAGGACGCCCGAGGAGCTCGGCGAAAAGGTGAGAAACAGCGCAGCCAACGAGAGAAACTGATCCCTCTCGCCATGATCCCCCTCACTCCCCTCAGCGAGAGCGCAAGGCTGACTTGACCACGACACAAAACTTCAGCCCCTGAAGAACGACCGCTGGCGGATACCAAAGTCCCGCTACGCCTCCAACTCGACCTACATCTCCACCGACCCGCGCCTGCGGCCCGAGTACCTGTACCCGGACCTCGTCATCGACGAGGACATCAAGGCCAAGCTCATGGAGGGCGGGATGGACGACCGCCTAGCCACCCACTTCGCCCACCTCTTCATCCGCGACCCCATCGTCGTCTTCGAGGAGGACCTCCAAGAGCTCGACCTTTCCAAGACGGACCACTTTGAGAACCTCCAGTCGACCAACTGGCAGCACATGCGCTTCAAGCCCCCGCCCGCCGACAACAGCATCGGCTGGCGGGTCGAGTTCCGCCCCATGGAGATCCAGCTGACCGACTTCGAGAACGCCGCCTTCTCCGTCTTCATGGTCCTCGTCACCCGCGCCATCCTCTCCTTCGACCTCAACTTCTACATCCCCATCACAAAGGTCGACGAGAACATGGAGCGCGCGCACGCCGTCGACGCCGTCCTCAAGGAGCGCTTCTTCTTCCGCCGGAACCCCTTCTCCAGCCGCCACCGCAACCCCGTCGGCGACGAGTCGAGGCCCGGCTCCCGACCCGGGTCCGCCGTCCCGAGCCGGCCGCCGACGCCGGTCCTCCCCGTCGAGGACGAGTACGCCGAGATGTCGGTCAACGACATCATCAACGGCAGCCCAGACGGCGAGTTCCCCGGCCTCATCCCCCTCGTCGAGAGCTACCTCGACGGCGTCAACGTCGACGTCCAGACCCGCTGCGAGCTCGACACGTACCTGCGCCTCATCAGCCAGCGCGCGAGCGGCAAGCTCGACACCGCCGCCCGCTGGCTGCGCAACTTCATCGACGCCCACCCGGCCTACCAGCACGACAGCGTCGTGGGCGAGGACGTCCAGAAGGACATCATCGCGGCCGTCATCGCCATCGGGGAGCGGGAGACGGCGGGCCAGGGCTTCGCCGGGCTCGACGTCCACGGCCTCCCGCAGCTGCTCGGGAACTTCCGACGCGGCTGCGGAGGCTCGGCGTAAGGGAGGGGAGGAGGCGGGGGCTTTGCCGGATGAGACACGCACACGGAACAGGAAAACTGAGGGGGGGTCTCGTTCCCTTGGCCTAGGGGAGGAGAGGGGGAAAGGGGCAGGTCGTTGTAAGTCGTGCGGGCGCAGGTCGAACGCTGCGCCCAAGAACGGGCTTTTTTTTCTCTGTAGGGAATCATCACATAGACTCAAATGCATATCCCGCGAGCTAGCGTTGCGAATTCCGCAATGGACCGTCTCCTATGATGCGTGAGGGACATGGCGGAAACCAGCCGCACACGCAGATACACACACACGCATACACACAGAAGTATTATTGTTATCGTTATTGTTATTATTGCAGTACTCCGTAGGGAGGTAGGCGTATGCACATCATGTCAAGACCCAAGCCATAGCTGGACCCAACTATAGCTCAATAAAACGCGGGTCACTGACCTGACGCAAAGAAATGAGTCGCCCCCATGAGCACCCACGGTTTTAGTTCCCAAGGAACCCCCCCCCTCCCCTTCAAGTCGCTAGGCTTGTCGGAGCCTAGAAGATGTCTTCCCGTGACAGACCAGATTCACCCCCCTCCCCCTCCTTGACGGCTTCGACGTAGGGCTAGAACGTCCGTCGGGCAGCCACACCCTTAGCTACGGCGATTCGCATATCTGGTAGTATTCAAAGAGATTGTGCTTGATATTTATTTCTTCCGGATCAGAGGCGTTCCGAGGCTGATTCAGCTCGCCAGATCGCAAGCCATGGCGGCCTCGTTTTCTCCTGCGATACTACATCGTCGTTAGGGGCTGGCTGGAGTGGACCCTTGAACATGCGCGCGGCAAATCCGGCCGGCTGGGCGTCGGTCGGAGGTCCAACATGAACAATATGGAATGGCGCATAACCAAAGGAGCATCATGTTCCCAGTCTCCAGGAAGGGAAAAAAAGAAAGAAAAAAAAGAAAAGAAAACAAGGACGAAGAGAGGGGCTCTGACCCGGAAAGCTGGTACTGAGAAGCCAAGGGGGGCGTGTTGTGGCCCCCAGCCCTGTGAGCAACCTGGACGTCGTAGCCGCAAACGAAATCGGCACGGGGTTCGAGTGATGGCTTCTTACAAAGGCCTTTGAGCGCCAAAGCACACCGCACTCTGGCTGGACTCAGATGCTGCTGCTGAACCGCCCCAGCCGTGTCTTGGATCACGACCGACGCTCACCCCCAGAGCTATTTCGATCCTGTGGCGGGGACAGCTGCATCAACGATTGGTCAAGTCTCACGGAGCTTGGTTCCGACAGGCACTAGGTATGTGTGTTTCCATGGCAGAAGGACGCCTAGAGGGTGGCATTCCCACGCCGGTGCGCTAGGAATATGGATGGCTTTTTAGATCGCGCGCCATTCATGCTAGCAGGTTAGGGCGATTCCATGTTCACATTCCTTTGCCGGCAAAGAGCCACGTTGCCGGCAGCGTCAGGCGGCTGCCTTGTGGCTGTTTTGATGCACTCTCGGTCGTCATTGTTGGGAAAAATCGTACCACGTCCGAGAGCCTACGTTGCAGGACACCATGCGATACCCTAGCGAAAACGTCCGTCTTGCACGTTGCATCCACTCCTCCCGCGGCATCTAGGAAGCTGAGTTTTTCCAAACCCAAGCCGAGCCATCGGCTATGACCAGAAACCCTTACGAGGTGGTCGCATGCAACTTCCCATCTCGGCTTGGCGGTTTGAGCGTGGCCTAGTGAGGTGGCAGGATTAACGGGCCGCATCGTCTGGCACTAGGGCTCAAGGTCAGACCCAGGGCTGCAGATAATCTAAAGGAATTCCGCTGTTGACTTCAGCCCCCTTTCTAGATCCAAGGATCCTCCAGTTGATCGAGACGGTGGCCGAACGGTGATGCATGGAAGTACAGTCCAGAACTTGGAAGCTTGCACTCCCGCCGTCTCCCTGCGTTATCGTGTCGATGGCGTTGTCGCCACGCGACGAGGTGAGGCAACAAGGAAACAGGGCTGTCTGTCTGGTTTCACGCGTTCTTTGTTCTTCCAATGGGCATTCCAGCTGCGTCCGGAACCGATACAATCTTCTGGCACGTCGCGTGGAAGTCGTGTGGTTAGGCGAGATAGACTCGGAGATGGCAACCAGAAACGGATCAGATCGCCACGAGGTGCCATGATCCGATTTCTTGAACCATCATGACGTAGCTGGCTGGGCCAGATGTGTGATGGGAGCCCTTACAAAAGACACTATTGACGAGGCGGAGGCTAGTCTCCAGTGAGCAAGATTGGGGGCTGGTTCCGCAACGCGGGGCGGCGTTGCGGCTGTGAGCCAACACATGGTTCGTATTGGCTGTTGGATCGACGCGTGCGCGTTGTTTGACAGCCGGTAGGCATGGTTAGACGGCCGTAAGGTGGGAGATGGAGTGTGAGCTTTGTGACGAGTGACTCAAGGTCGGATGCGAACGTTTCCATCGTGGCGATTGGCGCCCGGTACGAGCTCGAAGATGACACCAGCTGTTGGATGCGACAAGTTTGCTGCTAAGAGATTTGCGAGCCAGCTGGGTGGTAGCGCGGTCGTGGAAGAATGAAGTGTACCCTTGCGCAGACACACGGGTGTCAGATCGTTTGATGAGATCCAACCAGATCTAGGCCCGGTGACTTGGTGGAATGCAACAATGAGAAACCGGAGCATATTTGGGGGGGTAAGCCAGGTGAGAGATCTTGGCGGCAAAGCAGGGCGAAACCAAGGGTGAATCTAAACCGCATCGTACGATGTCGTCTACGGGGGGAAAAGCGTGAGAGTTTAAGCGCCAAGGCCGAATATGGACAAATGGCGATGCTAGTCACCACACTATTCAAGGTTGGAGGAGCTGACAGCCCACCCACATCGTGAACTAATTAAACGTGCCCTTCACCGTTACCTCCTTGCCTGTTCCCTGTGGTCCGAGTCAGCGTGTTTGGATTGGGAGCTGGGGAGACGCTGTCGTCTTGTCGCCTTCTCGTCGCCTTTGCGTGTGTCTGTACCCAGCAGAGAGGAACACTACACGGCCCGGTCAGAAGCAAGGAGTCCATGGCCAGCCACATGGTCGTGGCAGCGGGAGGTGAGGATAAGACGACAACGGGGACGGGAACAAGGGCAGATTCGTACAGTGCGTTGTGTGCCGAGTCGACTCTCTCATGCAGTGTTGATGTACCGTACATGGGACGGGCCAAGGAGAGAAATGGGCCAGGCCCGGACCCAGGCAATCGGAGCAGCATAGCCTGTCTGCTTTCGGGGAGCTTAGGCAGCCCACGTGGCTGGTCGAGGCACGGAGCTTTATGACCGTGACGGAGCAGAGATCAACAACGGGTAGTAGACGGTGGTGGCTTGGACTAGACCAGGCTAGGCGGCGATGTCATTTCCTCAACCGTCTTCGTGCAGAGAGGAAAGCGAAGTGGGTGCGGTTTGGTCATGAATGGATGGTGTGTGGCTATGTGCCTTCTCTTCCGCTCGTCTGGTTCCCGTACGCCCCATCATTGACATTGGCCGCATTAAGTCGCCGGGGATAGCTCGTGATCCTTGGGATGGATAATCGGCAGACAAGAGCCATTGAAGTGGAGGAGCTCGAGGCGAGCGGGGACGGGAGCAATGTTGACTGCGCAGTTGACTGGTCAGCCAGCCGGTCGGTCGGTCGGTCAGGTTGAATTTTGTAGATAGCTACCTACCTAGGTATGTGTAGTGTAGTGTAGTACACGGTACGAATGTAAACCCAAAGATCGGCTCCATGATCCCTGTGGGTGGAGGTCGGACCTTCGGAGCTGAGGCCGATTCCTGCAGATGCTTGTCGAGATGGAAGGTAGGAACATGCCGTCGCCGTTGGTGGGGAAAGAGCGGACAAGCTGGCATCGGGAAGGTGTATGAGGTATGGCCGAGGTACCGCAATCTTGGCGCAGGCAGGGTCAGGACTTGTTCCTTCCTCGTGGTCATCGGCGGAGAAAGTGCAACGTAAGTGGTGGTGATTGGCCGTAAGCGGCTTCACCGAGGTGGAGAAATGTGCCTGATCTTGCATTTGGAACGGATACTAGTAGATCAATACCTGTCTGACACATGACACGATTCCCACGATCAAGCGACGTCTTTTCTAGTATAGTCTACTCCGTACATTATGTAGCTAACTTTGTTCGTCCTGGCTCCGCTGACGCTGTGTGGAATGAATGGATAAGACCAAGAGATGGCCATGGGGCCGGCCGATCCGCGAAAGGTCGTTTTGTTGGGTTCGCGAGGCTTCCATCCACAACATGGTCGGTTTCAGACCCTGCGATAGCGCCAGTAGCCGTGCCGTGACGTTGCCGCCGACTCTGCTCCCCCCCCCCTTCGAAGGCCACAGATGGTGTACACATAAGCTTAGGGGTACCTAGATGCGATGGCCGCAGTGGCCATGGCATCCGAGTCATGCGGTTGGACGGCACCGAGCGAGCCCTTCAGCTTTACGCTTAAATAGACACAACGGACAAGGTCAGACCCTGGAGCGACAGGCGATGTGAAAATCTAAATGGTAAGGCATAGAGATGATGAACCTACTAAGGCGTTGGCGATGACGGCAATTGAGAAAATCACGCCATCCACGAGTCGCCGTGTTTTGGAGAATGGGACGAACATACATTTTCCAGATATGCATGGTCTGGCTTCGGAGGCGGGGAGGGAAGGGTTGGCCTTGTGCTGTGTTGCATTTCTTGTCATTGCGGCGTATCAAGGGGGGGTACTTGTGTCGGTGAGCCAAGGTGCATCTGCCTGTCTAGGTAGGTACGGATATAGGCAATAGGTAAGCTACCTGTTTAGATAGCTACTGAGAGCGAATGTGAGCTCAGAGCGGAGGGAGGGCCACGTAGGTACTCAACTTGGGAGGATCCACCCTCGGCTTTCCCGCCCAAAGTGAATCGTAATCAAATCGACGCAAATCTGCGATCGTATCCGGGGGAGGCTCCGGGGTCTGACGTGGGCCCGCCGAAGTCCGATTTGGGTAACAACCTCCAGGGAAAGCCCCAGCGCGACTT